CAGCACAGAGCCCGACGCGGGGCTCGAACCCACGAACCGTGAGATCATGACCTGAGCTGAAGTCGGTCAGACGCTTAACCCACGGGGCCACTTGGGCGCCCCCAGGGGCTACATTTTTAAAATGGATTTCCTGTTGGGATTTAAAAAATCTGATGTCCATGTTTTCAGGGGGTTTGAAGAGAGTTGGGGGGGAGGAGATAGATGCCTGGGGCTGGACCACCAAGTCCCATTGCAGGGCAGCTTAAGGTGAGGGGTGAAGCCCCAGGCAGGGTGGGGCCAGGCCCGCTGCTGCCTTCTGAGGACACCCCTGTCCCTCCAGATGCTGCCCTGGCCTGCCCTCCCTGCTGCCCCTGTATCTGCCACATAGGCCGGCCGGGCCTGGAGCTCCGATGGGCACCTGTGGGGGGCTGTGACGACGGACCCAGGGCCTTCTGCCGAGCCTCCCCGCTTCGGGCTTCCCGCTCGCGCCCTAGCCCTCCGAGCCTCAGTCTCCCCTCCGTGGTCCTTACCTCCTACCGCTCCACTGCCGAGCGCAAACTCTTACCACCCCTAAAAGCCCCCAAACCAGCGTGGGTCAGGCCAGACACCACCGCCTCTGGGGACCCCCCGCAGCCAGATCTCGATCTGCCCTCGGAAGACGGACTCCCTGCAGGTATGGGGCCTCGGGAGCCCCGTCTCTGGGCTGGGAAGGGAAGGGCTGGAGGTGGATCTTCGTCAAAGGCGATAAACTCCCACCCACGACCCGCCCTGGGTTTTTCATTCTCCACCAGCTGCTGCTCTGGGCCCACTGGGGCTGTCGATTTTTTATACAGGCGTCTCCACGGGGGGGGGGGGGGGGGGGGGGGGTTGTCCTGGAGGTTTGTTCTCTTGACTCTGGGCTCTCTCTCCAGGGGACAATCCCAATGAAGGTCGTCAGGACACGCCTCCAGCATCTGTGGAGGGCAGGTACCAAACCCCTAGGCCAGGGCAGACTAAGCTTCAGCCCCAGTGAAATCCCACCTTCACGGATGGGGGGTGAAGGATGTCTAGGGCTCCGGAGACAAGCTGCTCTGTCCCTTACCGGCCGTGTGGCCTCAGACAAATCACTTAATGTTTCGGGGTCACAATGTCCTCATCTGTGGGTGGGCGTAAGCACGCCAGCTACTTCACAGAGTTGTTAAGTGCAATGGTGGTAAGGAGCCCCGCCCACAGCAATTGGTCTCTTTTACTTCTGGGACCTTGCACCTCTATCGCAACTGTCTGTAAATCTGTTGGTCTCCAGAAACGCCACTTCTGTGTTATCCGGGTTTGTTAATCGTTTTATTTTGAGGGATATATAGAGAGAGGCAGAGAAAGAGAAGGAGACAGAATCCCAAGCAGGCTCCGCGCTGTCGGTACAGATCCCGACTCAGGGCTCGAACCCACGAACCGTGCGATCATGACCTGAGCTGAAATCAAGAGTCAGACGCTTAAGCAACTGAGCCACCCAGGCATCCCTGTTAATCATTTTAAATTCACCTCCCCTGTCAGAGCTAGTGCAGCCCCATTCCCTTATTCAGCATTTGCTGGGATGAATCCTCCTGGGTGTCCCACTTGGGTGAATGGGACAGCGCAGGGAGGTGTGACTTTGGGTTTGCTCATGCTGAAGTTCACTGGGGCACAGAAAGGACATTGCAGACAACCTGGACAACCAGACATTGCAGGAGACCTGGAGAGAGAGGCTTGGAATGTCTGGTATCGAGATCACAGGAGCGGATGGGGCCCGTGCAGTTGGGCTTCATACACAACAAGCACATAAATAATTTTTTTAAATGTTTATTTATTTTTCAGAGAGACAGAGAGAGCGAGAGAGCAGGGGAGGAGCTGAGAGAGAGGGAGAGAGAGAGGATCCCAAGCAGGCTGTGAGCTGTCAGTGCAGAGCCCCACGCAGGGCTTGAGCTCAGGAACTGGGAGATCATGACCTGAGCCGAAGTCAGACGTTCACCCGACTGAGCCACCCAGGCGCCCCTCATAGACAATTGCGTGTGTGTGGTTTCGTCAGGGTCCCTGCACACCGCCTGTGTGCGGATTGTGCACGCCTTCCTTAGCGCCCCCTGGCGGTGTGTGACACTGGTGGCTCTGGGCCACTCCATCCCTTTCTCTCCGCAGGGACAAGGAGGGGCCGGAGTCGCTGAGGGAGCAGAACTGGGAGCTGCGCCTGCAGGATGGTGAGGCCCCCGGCCCTGGGGTCCCTCCCGTGACCATCGAGCTGTGGGGGAAGGGTTCCGGGGCGCTGGGCTTCCCTGATGGGCTGTGTCCCTGCTCCAGAGCCTCTGTACCAGAACTACCGAGCGGCGGTGCTGTCGGAGGAGCTCTGGGGGGTCGGCGAGGATGGGGGTCCCTCTCCCACAAACCCCGGCGAAGCTCCCACCTTCGCACGGCCCCCCGGACCCCGCAACACGCTGTGGCAAGAGCTCCCGGCAGTGCGGGCCAGCGGCCTCCTAGACACCCTCAGCCCCCAGGAGAGGCGCATGCAGGAGGTGGGGACGCCTGGGGTTCGGGGGGTGGGGGGGCTGGCACAGCGGAGGAGGGTGGAACCTGGGTCCGCGCCGCCTGGGAGCTGGGCCCACTGCCCTGCTCTTCCTCCGCAGAGCCTGTTCGAGGTGGTGGCCTCCGAGGCGTCCTACCTGCGCTCCCTGCGGCTGCTGACGGACACCTTTGTGCTGAGCCAGGCTCTCCGGGACACGCTCACCCCCCGGGACCACCACACCCTCTTCTCCAACGTGCAGCGAGTCCAGGGAGTCAGCGAGCGGTCAGTGGGGGCCTGTCCGAGTACCAAGCCTCAGGCTGCTGAGCACTCCCTTAGCATGTATTCTTGTCCCAGGTCCTCCCTTCCACGGGCTCAACCCCCCCGCGGGCCCTGGCTCCGCGCCCCACCCCCATGGCTTGTTCCCCTGACTCCCTCAGGTTTCTGGGGGCGCTGCTGTCCCGCGTGCGCGCTTCCCCCCACATCAGCGACCTGTGTGACGTGGTGCACGACCATGCCGTGGGCCCCTTCTCGGTGTACGTGGATTACGTGCGGAACCAGCAGTACCAGGAGGAGACCTACAGCCGGCTGATGTGAGCCCGCGAGGGGCCGGGTGGGGAGAAGGGGAGAAGGGGAGCAGGGTCGGGGCCGGGTGGGGGCCTCGAGGTGGACGCCATCCGCCGGGACTGCCTTCGCAGGGACACGAACATGCGCTTCTCGGCCGAGCTGCGGCGCCTGCAGAGCCTCCCCAAGTGTGAGCGGCTGCCGCTGCCGTCCTTCCTGTTGCTGCCTTTTCAGCGGATCACCCGGCTCCGGATGCTGCTGCAGGTACCTGGGCTGGGGGGAGGGGGGCCCTGGGAGACCCCTCCCCGTCCCCCACCACCCAGAGGGGGGCCCCCCACCTGGCTTCTCAACCCAGGACGCGCCAGGCCTCCCTGGGCCCCGTGAAAGAACCTAGGCTGGACGCGCGCTCAAGTTCTCCACTTAGCTGCCTGGCCCAGTGACCTTGGGCCGGTCCCTTCCTCTCCCAGGGTGTCAGCGGGAATGTGAGGCGTGGCCTTTGAGGTCTCTCACTGCATGCCTCCCCAGTGGGGGGTGACTAATCCCCATGAGGCGCGGATTAGCTCTTTGGGGGTGAAGAAATCGCAGCCTGTCCACTGTCAGAGGGCATATCAGGACACGCCCAGTATATCCGAGGGGCAGGACATATGGGGGGAAATGGGTCTAAGAAGGCGCCTCGGCAGAGCAATACTCCCCAAACCAGGGCGCCTGATGTGGGCCCCCCGGTGAGAGGAGGCCCCATAGAGGGTATCAGCCTCTTCGTATCTTACTCCGCTTTTCTATATCCCCAGTGTAGACGGTGCAGTACTCATAATACTAATCTAAATAGCTAAACAGCTGTCGGGTGCTCCTCTCTAAGCCTGGTTTTAAGCGCTGTGTACCTGTTTCACGTTACCAGCCACTGTGGGTGGGAACTGTTCCTGATCCACTTTATGGATGAGAAAACCGAGGCCCAGAGAGGTTACATAACTTGCCCCAGGTCATACAGAGAATAATTGAGAGAGGCAAAAACGGACTTCCGGGTATTCAGCCATTCCGCAATATTGTTTGCGCTAAGAGCTGCGGGAGCTAATGATGAAAATAGTAGCAGGTCATGGGGCGCCTGGGTGGCTTAGTCGGTTAAGCGTCCGACTTTCGCTTAGGTCATGATCTCGCGGTTCGTGGGTTCGAGCCCCGCGTCGGGCCCTGTGCTGACTGCCAGCTCAGAGCCTGGAGCCTGTTTCAGTCTGTGACTCCCTCTCTCTCTGACCCTCCCCTGCTCACGCTGTCTCTCTCTCTCTCTCTCCTAGAAATAAATAAAACATAATAAAACATTAAAAAAAAAAAATTACTTTGGGGGCACCTGGGTGGCTCAGTTGGTTAGGCATCTGACTCTTGATTTCAGCTCAGGTCATGATCTCACAGTTTGTGAGTTTGAGCCCCATATTGGGCTCACTGTTGACAGTGTGGTGTTTGGGATTCTCTCTCTCTGCCTCTCCCTGCCCCTCCCTTTCTCATATGTGCTCTCTCTCTCTCTCCACCCCTCAAAAAAATAATAAGCTTTAAAAATTACTTTGGTCGGGGCGCCTGGG